ATTATAGTGCGTGACAGTATGCACTTTATCATCCGCCTTTTCAGGATACTCCACATAGCATACATAGTCAATGAGTAGAGTAACATGATCACTACGACCCAGTGGTGTGCTTGTAACTATCCAGTCAAACATAAGTTCTTCGTTAGTGAGCACAAGATCCAGTATCGATGGCTTGTTAGCAGTACGAAATCTGGTGGGAGAGCTTACGTGGTTGTACAGAGGGTGGCTAGCAATTAGTTCTTGCAAACAGGCTTTAAACGGCGTACCGTCGGTTGCTGGCGTTTCTATGTCGTGTACGTTCAAGTCTCCAGCGATAAGAATGTGGGTGCAGGACTTGTTCAAAGCAAACTGAAAGACGTGGTTCCGTTTGGAGTCCATTTCCGACGTTGAGTTTGATGAAATGACATCATACGAACAGTCGTCAATCTCATGAGGCGCAACCAAAGCGAACAGATTAAGTAGGTGTGTGTTTAACACGGATTATTCCATGAATGAAGGAAGAAGACAAAAGCCGATAAGGAGGCTTTACTCGATTAATAATTCGGACGTATGAGCTATAAAAACAGAAACATGTATTAGAACGGTAAATATGCCAAAGCATGGAATACGACAAAATCAAAAACACATAACATTCTCCCTCGCTAGGAAATCGTTGCTGAGTAGTTGATGACGTTTGTAAAGATGAGTTGGGCGCAGAGCGGTCCGCGTTAGGAAGGGAAATTGGATAAGGGTAACATGCGGGATGCGAATGAAAGAGCTGTCCAAAAAACAACGTATAATAAATGAAGAGCAGGATCAAGCTTCACGATTTCTTAGATCGTACGGTCGGGTTCGTTGTTGTTGTTGTATCAGAGTAGTCTCTCTTCTAGTAGTAGTATCATCAGGAGATGGGTCGGGAGTTGCTGGCAGAGTAGTAGTAGGAACCATAGCATCCGGTGCATTTAGCACGTGGGGCGTCAGAGGGACATCGCTGTCATCGGGAATCCTGCCAACAGCAGCAGCCAAGTGGCGAGTAGAAACCGGCTCCTCTCAGCCATCGGGAAGTCGGACAAAAGCATAATCTGGGTTGCAATCAAGTAGCTCAACTTCTTCAACCAATGGTTCATATTTCGATTGACGTGAAGCACGCTTCATGAGTACCCGATCAGGCTCGGACAGCCACGTAGGAAGGGATGTGCCAGTAGTTGACTTTCGGTTGAATCGAAATAAGCGCTCGTGTGGAGTTTCGTTGGTGGCTGTGCACAGCAACGATCGGATAGAGTGAAGAGCATCTAAGAGGACCGACTCCCACTGTCCGATATCCAGGTTTTTTGAAGATAGTGAAAGCGTAATAGCGCGCCATAAAGTTCCATTGAGACGCTCAACCTGCCCATTGCCTTGCGGATTATAAGCGGTAGTCCTACTGGTGGATATTCCTTTATCGTGCAGAAACTTTCTTACTTCTTCGGACACAAAAGAAGGACCGCGGTCGGAGTGTATATAAGATGGCATTCCGAACAAAGCAAACAGCTGAGTGAGGCATCCGATCACTGTTGCAGAAGTCATATCAGAGCAGGCAAACGCGAAGGGAAACCGAGAGTATTCGTCAATAACAGTCAGGAGATACTTGTTCCTTGACGTAGATGGAAGTGGTCTTTTGAAATCAATGCTCAACCGTTCAAACGGTTGTGTAGCTTTAACGAGTCGACCAACAGGGGGTCTATAGAACCTAGGTTTGATTTCGGCGCAAGCTTTGCATTGTGAGGTCATCGTCCTGACATCGTCTAAGGAAAATGGAAGGTTACGAGAACGGATAAAATGCATCATACGAGAAACACCAGGGTGGCACATTGACTTGTGTAGTTCGTTAAGTTCCGTACCACTCAGAGACGCTGAACAATGAATTCTGGAGAGCGTGTCGGCTGCTTTATTTCCGCTTCCCGGTCTATACATTATATCGAACCGATAACTTGATAGTTCCAAACGCCAACGTTGAATTTTATCATTCTTAATTTTTCCTTTGTTATTGTCACCGTACATGAATGTCACTGATCGCTGGTCAGTTACTATCGTAAATGGGTTGCCAAGGAGGAAATGACGCCATTTTCGCACTGCTTCGACTATAGCGCAGGCCCCTTTTTCGACGGCGGAGTGGTGTTTTTCGCTGTGAGATAGCGTTCGGGAGAAGAATGCTACTGGTTTGCCATTTTGATTCAAGGTAGCGGCGATTGCAATGTCAGATGCATCTGTTTCGACTACCAATGGTACACCGGGTGTGATAGTCACGACTGTAGATCGTTCTACTTCTTTTTTGAGTTGTTCGAAACAGTTCATTACCAGTTCGGGCAGCGGGGAAGTTTCATTGTGAATCAATGGATAGATTTTATCGGAAAATTTTGGAATCCATTTCGAATAATATGCAAACATTCCTACTAGGCGCTGTTGTGACTTGGAATCATGCGGTGGCATCAACTCGGCCAAAGGTCGTAGTCGCTCCGGGTCAGGTTTGATAATGCCCTTGGATATTTCGTAACCGAGCAAGGTGATTTTATTAACAGCAAAAATGCTTATTGTGTCGTTAAAAGTGATGCCGCAATTTTTGGCTACCGTCAGGAAGTGTTTAAGATTTGCGTCATGTTCCTCTTTGCTTCTACCGCACACCGTAACGTTGTCAACATATGCAAAGGTATCTGCAACTCCTTCCCGTTTCAGAAAACTGTCGATGGCTCGTTGAAAGCAGGCGACGCCGTTGGTAACACCGAAGGGAATACGGCAAAACTCGTAAAGTTTTCCACCAGCTTCAAAGGCAGTGTATTTACGTTCTCCCTCGTTGATTGGTATTTGATGGTAAGCACTCTTCAAATCTAGAGTACTATACACATCGAAACGAGCGATTTTATCGATGAGGTCATCGATCCTTGGAAGCGGGTAGGCACCAAGATAGGTAAATCGATTGATAGTTTGGCTATAATCCACAACCATACGCTTCTTATGTCCGCTCGTAGTTACTAACACTTGCGCTCGCCACGGCGACCTCAAAGGCTGGATAATGCCATTTGCCAGAAGTCTTTTGATTTCAGATTGAATGAAAGTTTCATCGGATTCGCTATAGCGTCTAGATTTTGTAACAATCGGCTGGCAATTTGGAGCAAGGTGCTCAAACAGGGGGAACGGTTCCACACGGGCCGCCATTAGGCCACAAATAGTAAAAGGAGGTCTGGATCCATGAAACGATATCTCAATTTTACGATGATATATGAGGAAGTTGTGACTAAGTAATACGTCAGAGCAAAGGTTAGATAAAACGGATAGTTTCACATTGGAATAACAGGTGTCTTTGTGTCGAATGGAGCAAATAATATGTCCTTGGGTGAAACTAGAATGAATAGTGGAGGCCATAACGATGTGCTCCCGAGAGATTTCGATATGAAATTTGTTAAGTTTTACAACTGAAGCAGAAATGTAGCTTTCAGAGCTCCCAGTATCGACAACGGCTTGCAGCGGTATGTCATTCACAAAGATGTTATTAACGGCACTGCAAAGGCTGCCGGGCGCGGCAGCAGACGTCACAGAAGATAAAACCGACATAGAAACGTTCGAGCCGTGATTTGTGCTTGGCCTGGATTTGCAAACGCTCTGGAAATGGCCTTTCTTTGTACACATTTTACATGTCGCATCTCTGGCTGGACATCTTGATCTAGGATGTCTGGCGTAGCCGCAAAAGAAACACTTTGACTGGGAGGACGCAGCGACAAGTTATTGTTGAGAAGATAGCTGCGACTCAGATGGGATTTCAGTTTTCATCGTGGAGTTACAAGTCGTCAGCTGAAAGGAAGCGGCTTGTTTTTGGGCCAAGTCAAGCGATCTAGCCATCTCGAAAGCGGACTGAAGATCGAGTGACTTTTGTTCCAATAATCTCTGCCTGATGAGGTTAGATTGTAGACCACTGATAAAAGCACCTCTGATAGCTTGATTCCTGTGTTCGTCGGCAGTGACTGGTAGAAAATTACAGTCACTAGCAGCGGAATTTAACTTCTGAATGAATTGGTCTAACGATTCACCGTTCTCTTGCCTGGCAGTGGCTAGGATGTGACGCGCAAAAATTTCGTTTTTGGCTTTTATGAAGATATCTTGTAGCATTTTGACGGCATGCTCATAAGAAGAGCACTGAAAAACCACCTCGAACAGGGCAGATGAGATATAATTCATTAACGTTTTGAGCTTGTGCGGCTTCATGGACTCGATCGATTCTAAAAAATTGTTAAAAGTGTAGATCCAATGGGCCCAGCGTTTGCCGGCGTCAGAAGATTGAGGATCCACATCAAAGCGATCTGGGCGTAAGATTCGATCCATGAGATTGTTGTATTAATCGAGTAAATTGTAATGAACAAAGATTATTCCAGGAATGAAGGAAGAAGACAAAAGCCGATAAGGAGGCTTTACTCGATTAATAATTCGGACGTATGAGCTATAAAAACAGAAACATGTATTAGAACGGTAAATATGCCAAAGCATGGAATACGGCAAAATCAAAAACACATAACAGTGTGTATATCAACAATACGTCAGTTCGCTCGCTAGAGTATGACGTAAACGCAAAAATAGGACACTTAACGTGTTTTACATCGGCCTTTGCGCCTGTATAAAGAATACTTACACAGATGTATAAAATGGCAAAGTATGATAAAATCATACGAATTGTGCAATCCACGAGAACAGTGCAATCGTTTACAGCAATCACATGTGGTTGTAGTAAGCATTATCTTGATAGAGGACAGGCGCATACTGGGTCCGATAGAACTAAGTGGCTACGTAGTGAGACGAGGAGAGAGAGAGAGAGTAAGTTTCCTCCTGAAACAACTTGTCAATAGATGGAAATGTGTGCACAATCGGTAATGTGCTGACAAATCGTCAAGGTTGCGAGAATGCAAACGAAGAAACGCGAATCACACGTCATGCTGAGTAATATGCAGCGCATACTTAGGAGGAGACGACAAGACAGCAGTGCGTAAAATACTCACCTGATAGCAAACGAGCTTGGCCAAATGAAGTTCGTAGTCGGCCAACTGGGAGTGCTCCTGAAGCGCTTTCGCTGATCTTGACAATGCGCACACCATCGCAAAGATCTGGATCGCTGCGTCCGCCAGACGAGTCAAACGGAACTGTTCTTCAATCACTTCTTTGCGATATAGAGACAGAAGGAGAGTGGACGCAGCACCAAACGCGTCGATCGCATTCCCTGCAAGGGCCGCGGGTTCAGCCAAAGGTGGCGGTAATAGTTTTGTCAGAGAGGAACCGCTACCACCTAAACCCACTACGCTAGATGACAAAAAATCAAGTGGGAGCTGAGGTTTTACTCTCGCTGGAGGCATCAACAAAAGCAAGCATTAAGTTCAGAAAATAAGCGGTGAAGTAGTATCGATCAAAACGATTGATCAAAAACGATAGACAGTATAGTTCACTAGTTACTTACAGAATAGACATGAATAGTGATGGATCCAATTGCAATGACTCTTGTCGACGTAATAAAGCTAATAATATTAAATAGCTGCATAAAGGCAAGAAAAAGGAAATCGAACGGACAAACAATAGTCAGAGGAAATCGACAGCGTCACAGATTCCGTGAGTCAACTGTGTCTCGTCATGCACGTGGTCGATTCCGTGGGTCCGTGAAATGGAACGATGCCGTCGCTCGACTAGTTTGAGATACCATCCCACCAGGTACAGTGAAAACCGAAGTACAAAGAATGTGTGATCTAGTTGAAGTAGTGAATTCAAGTCCAAAAGGTGACCCAGTGCGGTATCAAAGGATTCGGTGCGACATTCGATGTTCCTCGTTAATGCAACGCATCCATTAGTCCCAACTAGTGAGTGTAAGTAGCTGGGATGGTATGTTTTAATGAAGCATGATTGGTCTCATGTCTCCGCAGGCCAAATTTCGGGGACAAATAGGGTTACGATACTAAGTCATGAACTAAAGTATGTGGTCCAATCAAACTTCCCTCCGTAACAGAGAAGAGTTACTCAAGCTCGTCCATGTGAGCATTTCGGTCCTCCGAAGTTGATGGGTGTGCGTTGTAAAACAGCAGCGGAGTTCGAGGTGAAAGTAAGGAAAGGCGGGGTGAAATGAGTCAAATGATTGGCTCATATGAGCATTCCAGCCTCAATCACGTACGTAACGTGTGACCAGCATGTTGATGGGCTAGACCCGGATGCCGCCATACGACTTACATCCACAACAGAACAAGTCAAGATGTAACAGATGTTCGATCTCGAAGGCGTTCAAATCGGAAGTTACCGACAATCCTACCTGGTGGATTGTCGGGGAGCCGATGGCTTCCCTCGTTGACCTAATGAAATTTGATGTCAACGGTAATATTTATGTTTAAGCAGCACTTGATCAAGAGGAATAGCGCATGTCACAAAACAAAATCTGGATCATCAGCCAATACAAGCTGTGTAGTTGGCACAAGTAAAGAGTAATAAACGCGCATTAAATAAAGACCATGGATCGAAAATAAGATAGGCGTCAAGATTATGCCCAATAACTGAACAACCGATGGATGCTCGTGAAGAATGAAACTACAGCACATCTTGCGTTTGGCCAGTCCTAACTCGCGCACAAAGAGTGTAGTGAACAGACAGCTCAGGAAACACGTAAAAAATCTTGGTGAAGTCAATCCATAAGGAAATCCGACTTCGCTGACAGGTCAATAGTGGGACGCGTTTAGACGCATCTGACTACATAGAAAGTTGTCGACCCGTAGCTTTGGGCATCATAGGCCTGAATTGTAATTCGATGTCGTGGGTCCGAGCTTCGTAGTATCCTTAGCCCACGCGCGACTGTTAGTGCATGCGCAGCACCGAAGCGTCGGTAGTGAGTACCGGTGTATTGCTGATGTCTACAATAGAAAGTTATCGGAGAAACACTTGCAACTGGACTTCTCGCAGTGAATGCAACGCAATCGGAATCTAAACGTATCCGAGACACACAAGTCTCTGAATGCTTCTGATCTGATGGAGTTAGTTGAACAAAGTTCAGTAAACACTAAGTAATCAATGCGAAACCGACATCCTAGTCACTATAGTCCCATGATGATATGCGCCGGCAGTAGCGTTGCTTCGGTCTAAAAGTTAAAAACAGCAAATATGTGAGTACAATACGTCTCCTAGTTTATAGGCCATGAAAAAAATTAGAACATGCAACATACTTCCAAAATCAACAAATAGTCTAGTTGGTTGTTGTTATTGCCGTCAATAAAAATGGGAAAATGCAACACATCCGATTATTTGCTCTACCCACTTTGGCAAGTGTTCAGCCACCCTCTGAGCTAACCGACGGTTAGTCCTGCCTATGTAAACGTCACTGCAACTGCAGGTGAACTGATAGACCACATGTGAGGGCGAACATGTGGTCTATCAGTTCACCTGCAGTTGCAGTGACGTTTACATCCGATTAGTCGAACATCCATCCACAAAGAAGGGCTCGAGTCATGGAATTAGGTAACGCCAACTGTGTATGCGCGCACGACTAATAAGCTGGAGTGCGCCAACAAATCAGTGTGGTATCGCACATAATCTACCGATTACTGTCGCTGTAAGGCACGTGAATGAGCGATATGGTTAAGATTGCATGCTCGTACTTGAAGCCAGGTTACATGACTGTAACCTCAACGGAAGCTCGGACAAAATCAGACTGAAGCTCACCAGACGGGAGCCAGCCGATGAGAGTACTTTTCCGCTTGAGCCAGTAAATCGCAGCTCTTTTGAGTTGAAGCCATTCAAAAGGAGAGCGTTTACTGGCAACTGGCGGCATCCCGTAGCATGGAACCTTCCTTTAGTTCATTCGTTTGTACAATATAATCAGACCCATTTCGACTGTTAAAAATGCTGTATTTTCAGGGCTAAACTAAGGGTTTTGGCCAGGCCACCGTTTTCGGACTTGGCAAGTGGATGGACTGTGATTCGAGTATTTGTATCAGGTCGCTGTGCTGCTAGCGAAAACAAGATACAAAGTGTCAGTAGACACAATGGTTGCCTATGCGCCACTTGATGCCCCCAGTGCTTGGTCAGCGCAGACCCAAACCTGAACGCATTACCATAAAGTACGGATGGCCTGATTCCATCCTTGAATGCCGCTCATTTTGTACACCTGGGTTGATCATGATTAGCACCTTAGCTCGTCACCAGATTTTCTTGAACTTGCCGGGAACAGAAGCAAATGGCTTTCTCGGAAAGAGATCGAGAAAGTGTTTGAGTGTACGATCAGATATACCTACGGGACGCCCAGAATGTAAAACTGCCGCGTAGATGCTTTGAGGTTATCGAGCTCCAGCACGAGTGTACGCTATTGGGGAAGACTAGTTTATCTGAACGATTGCGAGTCGGTACACACAATATGCGGAAGTCCCCTAAAATTGGCCAAACATCTGTATCTTCAAATTGTAAAATAGTTGTAAAAGAACATTGTCACTGAGTCTTGAGGACGAGCAACTGGTGGTAATCGATCGAATCACCAATCATGAGAGCGACTTTGACTGGGAAGCGTGTATGGCTGTTGAAAACAACTAACATACCTTTGTTAATATGTGACATCTTAGGTAGGAGACGATTCTCATTGGCGTTAAAGACCATGGTGAGTGTCGTTCTCCCCAATGAGAGTCAGGCTTGGCCTCTCCCGTCTGAGGACCTGAAGCCTCATCAGGTGTTTGACAATAATCGTCTGTGGAACATTTCTAATGTCGAGCGACCCCAGAAGGATAGCAACGGCGATGGTCAGATAAACATTTTGGATCAATGCACAAGAATGCATAGACTGCGTTGGATTCTGAAATATTCTACATATGCCCACCCACCGTGGAGGGCTGTTTGCACGTAGAATCCAGGTTGTCGCTAGGTTCGAGAAGAATGTAGTCAGTGACTGTTAAATAGGGTGCTAATGGTCGCTCTCGCCTTCCGGGTTGGGGTCCACGATACATATCCACAACTTGGTTTGAGACAACAATCATAATGAGTCCGAGTGGCGCGTATACTATCTTTGACGAGGTGCTTGAGTCTAGTGCTCATGATGCTGATTCACGAGTGGAACAGGGCTGGTCACAACATGGGGCAGTGAAAACAACTGCGATATTGTCTTATCCTTGTATGATGCCTGTCTAGCAACATACATGGTTGCCAAGAAGTAGGTGATGCGATCTTCACTGTTCGCTCATTGCATCTAGGGTTTACACTAGGTCCACCTCTTCCCCTTCATTACGTTTTCCGATAACCGAGCGGATGATCTGTATGCGTTGCAACCCAGAGGTCACCGGTCGAAATTTGCATAAATGGAGGCGACGGTGCAGTATACTTGGCCCGCACGCGACTGGTGGTGGTCACATGACAGTGAAGCGTCGGTGTGGCGAACCGGAGTGCTACTGATGTCTTCTCTTTGCTTACCTTCTTTTTATTACCGCCGCTCATCTAGGGCACTAAGAGTTTTACGGTAGTGAAGCAATATCACAAACAACTAGTTTACTGCTGATAAGGTTGTCGCTGTTGCATCCAATGACTGCAGGAAATGCGTACTCGTGTTTCTGCCAAAGAAAACACAGAAGATGCGACCAACCTAGTCTGGCCTAGGATATCTCAAAGTTCGTCGGGTAGTGGAAGTGTCCACACTATTTCGCAATGGTATTCATTTGTAGTGCAGCAGCTTGCGTCCTTAGCACATCCACGACACCCTCAGTGAGTCAGCTGACCACTCGCTTCAAACGGACATCTCGTCTGCTCACTTAAGCAATCCGCTCGTCTAGATGCGCACCAGCATCGGACAAGAGGGGGTGGAAGCGGGGGCTTGCTCACGAACTGGATCTAAATCCCAAAGTTTGGGATGTGAAGGTTAGACGGTCAGCACAGTTCCGGACGAACGCAGACGTAGCAGTGAACATGTCCGGAACACTGAATCGTGCCCCCTGGCTTGATCGAGCGTGTTATGAATGGACCATCGCAATGAGGCTGGACCTTACCGTGGTGCGATGGTTTGAGTGCCTCAGCGATTCATTAAGCTATGCTGGGTGGTGCTTTTTGCACCTTCAGACACATATCAGATTGGTCAATGGTTAGAGGCCAGACAAACTCGGGTTGGAATGATGGTGGCTCCTTATTCCTTAAAACGGACTCCTTGTAGCCCAACGCGAAGCCCGCTGCCTTGCGGTAAGGTTTTTGAACCAAAGGCTTTGGTTGAGAACCCTAATCGTTCTCCTGTCTAGGCCTGGACAACCTGACAGTATCCTGTCCACGCAATACAATGAATTTCTCTTCAAACCGTTTCTTGATGCTCTGGCCACCGCAGGGGATAATCAACGGTGCCCTATCTGCTGCATCGAGCAGGGTGGATAGGGGTTTGGATGCTACTGCTCAAGCCTTCCCGTCTTCTTATTCACCCGTTTACGCTTTTTCTCTCTTACCACGATCTCATTATTTAGCATCACGATCTCATTATTTATCATTTTATAAGTTTGCATAGTAAATTTTTTTCTGCTGCATAGTAGTCGGCTGGTAGCTTACCGGAACGATGCCCATCCGTTACCGGTAGCTCAGCTGGCTTGCACCTGTTGCTTTTTATTCCATTTTTTTGCTTTTATGTATTGCGGCACAGTAGCTGAGGTGTTTTCCACCTCTAGCTAACGTGTATAGTGTGTGTATGTGTGTTATGGATGGAGACGTCAGTTTGAGGCGAGCGGACCACTGACTTACTGAGGGAGTCGTGGATGTAGTTTTCGTGACTATCGGATTAAAGTTTTTGCGGTTAAGGATGTAAACTTCTGCACTACAGATGAAAGTCATTGCCTTAAGTATGCTACCACTTGAGAAATGGCATAGTCTATAGTTGGGTAAGCGTATTTAGACGAAAAGTCTGCAAATAAAGATCCAGCACTGGAATTGGCAGGTTATACAGCAAAAGCAGCGATTATAGATAAGAGCATCACATACACACAAGCCATTACTAAAGACGATGAGCAGCGGAAAAAACTCAGACCCACCGTTTGCACCGATCTGCGGCCAGACCGACCGCACCAAAGGGGGATTGTGCTCTCGCGGCCAAGTGCTTGCCTGCGTAATTCAACCCGGTCAGAGAGATAAAAAGTCGTAGGATGTCATTGGCACCTTCGAAGATGCGGAATACACGTAGGTCGCGTAGAATGCGCTCCAGATTGGTGTCTTTCATGTACCCGGTACCACCATGAATCTGATGCGAGGGAACAAGAAAGAACAGCAGCTATGGCCAGACAAGAAAAACATACAACGAAGTGCTTAGAATGAAATCATGAGAAGTATCAGCGCAAAATTGAGGAAACGGATTTAAGCTGTTCGAGTGAGTTGGGGTACAGTGTATCTGGTATCCCGTAGTATAAAAATGGAGGACAGGCCAAGTGCTGGAAAATCAGACACCCATTTAACATATAGGTGAGCAGCGTGGAGGGGGGGAGCTTTGGACCAATATCAAAGGACATTAGTTACAATGACGTGAAATTGGACGGCCACTGAACATCTGGAAAGACACTGAGAGTAGCTGTGACGAATCGTCTTAAGGAAAAATCAAAAGCACCTATCTGCCAAATTGCAAGAAGCCCAAACTGGCTTATAGTGCCAACAGATAGAGGCGATTCAGCCAGAAGATAGAGGCAAGAAAGCATCAGAAATACGTCGGAATATTGTATCGATGATTGGCTGCCACTCAATCACCACCAAACGAGATTGGGCTGGATAAATAACGATGCCGTCAGCACCGACGCAGACAGGAGCTGATGACCTCCGGATTACAAAGCAGGCGCTTAATACTTAGGACCACTGGTCGCCTAAGCGACGTAGGTTGGGTATCTGAGATCCAACTGCATTGTCTGATATTTGCAAATGCATATGGCCACGGGGGATCAACGGGATTGTAACACGACCAGTCAGTCGATTACAGCGACAGTAAGCATCGCAGTTGATCCACCGATCTTGAACATTAAATCAAAGGAGAGATGAAACGCAGGTTCCAGCCTTAGAAAGGATAGATGGAATGCGCACACTATCGACAAGATCGGAAAAAAACCAGACAGCGGTTTAATGTACAGTGGCTCTCGGATTGAATGTAAATATGGCAAATCTCCTACGAAACTATTAAGTTGGTTAATATAAAACGAATGAGGAGACCATGACTGAAATAGTTGGGCTGGAATTGAGCATCAGCAGAACTGCTGGACAGATCCAGGTATCCAGAAAACAGAATACTGTATGATCACGCGATTACATACATAAGGGATCAGACACGAATAAAAAGTGAAGGATCCGAAAGCAGAAGGTAAAAACGATCAACGCAAAGGCCGTGTGTGTGATAGACAGCATGATTTGCCAGTTGAGTGTCTCTATCAAATTCAAGGTCTTTGGCTGGGAGAAGCCTAGAGAAAAAGTTCCCCCATCAACGACAGCAGAGCATCAGTGATTTGAACCGATGCACCGTTGCTATATATCTATGGTGACCCGGAGAATAGTAAAGTGGAGGGCGCATAGTGTAAAACCTAAGTGACACACTAGCAGTCTGTCATGAAATCTTCATTAGGATTTTAGGTGATTTATTATTTTGAGAAGATCCCTCACAGTTAGACTCAGTCATCACACATGAAGGAAGGCGTTAAAAGTGAGATAATTGGTTTGGATACGGCGGTATCCGGTGGATGTGTGCTACTGCTAAGTCACAATAGGACGAAACGATCGTCCAGCGCTTTCCTAGATGTGCAGTAGCCGTCTGGTTGAGTCTAGCTGCAGCGAATCCTCATAAGGAACCCTCCTTGGATCGTAAACAACTGGCTATTGTGCGTAGATAAGATGGTACCTACGGAACAACTTCCATTGCATAGAGTCATTTCCAACCTTACTCCACAGCCGGCCAGCTTGTCTTGTAATCTGACGGCACGGGTTCGAGCTTGCGGGGGAGCAGGGCGATCCTCGTAGATTCCTTAGCCCACGTGCGACCGGTGGTGGTTCTATGGCAGCGAAGCGACGGTACTGCGTATCAGTGTACTGCTGATATCGTTTTTACTCCAAAGCTAGTTCAGTATGACATACACAAGCGATCCGGTCCGGAGTAAACGACTGCGAGACTTTGTGTTAATTATCGGGCCAAGCAGAGCATGCACTGTGTAGAGTCCAAACAGAAAGGTGAGACGGACCAATAACACTCAGTCTAGTCGTTAAGGACCCTATTTCCGTCACCAGAGGATGTTTGGTCAACCTCGAGACTTCGCAAAATCATAGAATCCTTCTTGGTAAGAGTAGTGAGCATTGGAGGTGGTTCGGTGTTGCTCCGCCAAACACGGACACCCCAAGGAGATAACCTGAGCTGCGGTGGAACTCGGGGCCTAGTGTTTCAAGGCTGACCGCCTGATCACTATGGCTCTAAGATCCGTGAGCATCGCTTTGCACAGCGGTATGCAATTCGAAGTTGCATTTAAAGTACTCGCCGTTTAGTTGCATTGCGACATGCAAGCACTATTCAGACCTCGGTTCATTTGGAAGTAGACCTCAGTCATTACGATCACAAGGATCGAATGCGAACAGGAGTGGGTTCAATGTTGCTCCTCCCAACACGGACAATGTCTTTTCCATTGCATCCATCTTGTCTTACACATTCTCCACCCTTAGGAATTTCGAGTGATCGTTAAGGATGACATTCGTATTATAGATATGGTCAGATTTCCCCATCAGCACGATCCCTGCTCTTTTATCGGGCATAGAGAGCAGAACATTATTGTTGTTTAAGTACGCGCAGAGCATCCGGGTGCGTCTTCCTTAAATGATACCTGTGTTCAGGTATTGGTAACATGTATTCACCATGGTGGGCCAATTGTGATTCGAGGCCCCAGACTTATCCTGATTGGCTGAACTTCGCTCAACGCAGATTGATCGAATAGCAGGATTCTTAGAGAGTGCCTTTCTTTGTTCTGGGCAGTTGTACGTTCTACGTGCCTCCTACAAAATACTGCTATTACATCTAAGTTCTGCTGACAAAACAATTGGCGTCGCGAGTACAAACATGAATCTTCAGTTCAACCTTCATCGGAAAAATGTTCTTCCAGAATTATTTGGATTTAATTACCGACCTAATGTTTCCAAGCAGTGAGGAAAATAAGTTAAGGTTGCTTCGTCACTTGCTCGGAGATGAGGAGGCAACGTCAGTCTCATGACCTAAACCTTCAGGGATGCAAATCAGCCGGTGATGCATTCAAGGCTCTCGATCGCATTTGGGGCTCCAAAACTAACCCGTTTACTGCACGGTACATCTTCTCCCGAATGCAGCAAGAGCCAGGTGGATCACTAAATGATTTTATTACCAGACTTAGTCGTGCAGTACGGCCATGCGATTACTCTGCTATACCGCAGAAAAAGATCGAAGGTTGCATGCTGACTCAACAGTTGATCTCTGGAGTTACTGATCACCGTATACGTGAAATGCTGCTACACGAAGACGCCCGAAGTCTGACCTAGGATCGAGCCCGCAATTTGGCCAGAATGAAGATGGAATTGCTCTGCAGGCGAAAGAGCTGTGTGCACCTAAACTAACCGATGTGGCAAAATTACAGTCTACTCATCCATTACCAAACAGTAAACCATTCTGCTACCACTGCTGTGCTCGTACCTCCCACAAGGTTAACGTCACTTCCTGTCCAGCCCGCCGTCTCACAAGTAAAAGCTGGAAACACTGGACACTGCTCGCTGTTGCCGATCCCAACGCGACGCACTCGGTGAACAGGACCCCGTTCTCGAGTACGACGTAGTCGATTCAGCCGAGCAACATGTTTACTCAGTCAGTGCTGAGGTCAGGCACTTTGGAAATGTGATGCTATCTGCTGTTGCACCGAAAATACTCTGTCTTATTCCCTATGAACAAAGTTGTTATTCCACTAGAAATCGAATCTGATTCCGCTACTCCTATTCCTATTGTGCCCTTCAGCTGCTACAAACGTTACTTATCCGAATACCCTTTACAGCCGACTGCTCATTCATTCTAGAGTTACAGTGACAATAATTTAACCATTCTTGCTTTCCTCTTTGTACGTCTCCTAATTGGCCTGGTATCTGCGGAAGTCGTCGTGCTGTCTCAGCAGCCTTGCAGAACTTGTTAGCGAACGAGCTAATCGAGTCAATCGATTGCTCCGAGTGGGTACAACCAATGGTGAGTGTTGTGAAAAAAGCAGCAGCAGCAGGTCTAAACAGGCAGATAGTCGTCGAAAGATTTGTGCTACCTTCTTGTGGTGGGCTGACAGTTCGACTTTCCGGTGCAACAATTTTCTCAAAACTGGGGTTGAAAAGTGCGTTTTTCCACATGGCTTTATCGGATTACTCCAAACCCTTCCTAGCCCTTGACGGATTATTACAGTACAAAGTTTTACCTATGGGTGTCTGAGCTCAGAAGTTCATGACTCAAGCTCTGGCAAATATTGATGGAAGGGTTACCTACTTGGACGACATTTGTGTCTTCGATCGCTCGCCGGAAGAGCATGACGAGCACTTACATAAAGTCCTTCATCGACTCAGTGAACTCGATCTCAGCTTGAACATGAAAAAGTGCACCTTTAACGCCCCAGAGTTTCAATTTTTTGAGCACATCATTTCCCGCAGCGGCCTTTGCCCCAGTAACGAAAATATCTGTGCCATAGCTGATTTGCGGATACCTAGTAACTTAACGGAACTAAACTCTTTTTTGGGTATGTGCTCTTACAATTCGCGATATGTTCGTGATTTTGCAACCGTGGCAGATCCACCAAGGGAACGGACAAAAAAGAGGTCACCGTTTGGTTGGGGTATTGCGAAACAGTATGCCTTTGACGAAATTAAACGACAGATTTCCTCCGCTCCATTGGTTGCCATCTTCGACGAATCATGCTGTACTTTTGTGTCAATTGACGCCTCAGATATCCGCTTTGGTGCTGTCCTTTCACATCTATGAATCGGGGAAGAGAAAATTATTGCCTATGCTTCACGGAAGTTATCAGACTCTGAATCTCCCTACTCAACCGGCGAAAATGAAGTTCTCGTTTGTGTGGGGGCTTTCGAGAAATGACATCTTTACCACTTTGGCCGCCGTTTCATTTTACGGACAGATCACTCCGCTCTAACCACCCTCCTCAAGAATGGATCTAAAGGGCTCTGCCCGATGCGAATCTATCGTTGATATGGCAAACTTCTGTTGCGATTTCCAAATCG